CTCCAGGATCATGACCCGAGCCCAAGGCAGCCGCCCAACCAACTGAGCCACCCAGGCGCCCCTAGCAATAAGGTATTTTTTAATTTAGGTATGTGCACGGCTTTTTTTTTTTTTTAGACACATTATTACACGTGTGACTATATAGCACAGTGCAAACATAACTTTTATATGCGCTGGGAAACCTAGTAATTCACCTGACTTGCTTTACTGTGGTATCTGCTTCACCGTGGTGGTCTGGAACGGGACCGTGACACCTTGCGGCACGCCTGCACTCACTCACCTACCGAATTCCTAGTCTCCTGTTGGTCTCAACTTTGAGATTACTTCTCCCCGGTAAGCCGCCCCTGTCAGATGCTCCTGAAAAGCCCAATGTTTCTTTTACTTGGGGCACTGATCACTTCCTATTACGTGCACCTGTTCTCTTGTCTGCGTGAATGTGGTGAGGAAAGAAACCGGGCCTCTAAGCTCATCCCTCTCCTACCACTGTCTGGCCTGGTGCCTGGCACAGAGTAAGGCAAGTGCTTCCTGAATAAACAAAGTAATAAATGAATTTCCCTCTGTCAGGATTTCTGAAAGCTCAGTGTCCTAAATGAAATGAAAAAACCCTACACCAACGTAATACCCTGCACAAAAACTAAGTGATCCGAGACTACTGTCTGCGGCTACATCAATAACAGAGATCAGACAGCTACTGGCACGAATACACGTACACTGGCTTTTTGGGCAGTGACCGCAAGTACAAGTTAAGGTACCCTCTTTATGTGCTTTCTAACGTTACTTCCAAATGCAAAACAAATTCAGGAAATGAAAATGAGCTCTCTTATGACACAAAACCTTTTGCCACAATTTCACGGATCATAAGGAAAAACGTATTTGTATGAATATCTAAAGGCGTATCCGCAACATGTATGCAACATATTATCTTCTTTGTGATAACACACCCTGAAAAATGAAGGGAAAATGATTTCTCATTAAAAGCCTCTGAGTTAAAAAAAAATCTAACGGGTACAATTCTCCTTTTAACATCACCACCACTAACGTGGTCAGGGCCCTTCCGGGGGCCCAATCAACCAAGCACTTTCTCTACTATTCGTAAGCATCTTCTCAGTACAAGCAATGAGATGTTTTAAAATATACTCTTGGAAAGGGATCATCTGTAATAACAGAATTATTCTGTATATGCAAAAACAAAGCTTATTATTAAGTTCAATCAAGAAATCATCTAGGTCTCCTGGCAAGCTGGGAGTCTTCACTCCATGCTCTCTGATGCAAGAAGGAGAAATGGGCCAAAAACATCTCCGGAAGCCTCCACTCCATCCGCTCTGATGCAAGAAGGAGAAACGGGACCAAACACACCTCTGGGAGCAGTTTCTCTAAGGGCAGCCTTCCCAGCATTTCCCCACATGATGCAGGCAGCTTCGGTGCTATTCTCATTCCCTAAAAAATGAACTGGCGAGACGCATTCATGTTCCCCCCAAGACAGCAGCACAGCCAAGACAGGAGGACAGCTCCCCCACACGTTGTGGTTCCCGAGGAAGCTGTCGCCTGTCTACTTTCCAAACCCCAGAAAATGACACAGAAATCCATTAGTCACCACCTTTACTCAGTGTTTTCCTCTGTATCAATGGATATGAGAAAATGATCCCCGCTTAGAAATAGTGTTGAGTTTCTCTGTTTTTCTCCTCTAGAAAATGACCCAACAGGACATACCAGACAATAGGCTCAGGAGACATACATTTTCAGAAATGCCCAAATGTTAACAGCTGTGAAAGGCTGTGGCAGAAGCAGCTAATTTCTTTGAAGGAAGAAGACACAGCACAGGTAGAAGTTGGAAGTAGTGAAATAAGGTTGAGCTTAGAAAGTACTCTGTTCCTAGGCAAGTGTACTCTAAGACAATGAGGGACGGCGTTCTCGTTTAATGTTTACACTCTGGTCAGAGACAGACAGACTCTGGCACTGTTCTAGGCACCAGGAACTCACTCCATAACAGTAACAACTGCTTCTTATAAGCCAGGAAATATGCTAAGGACTTGATGTAAATGAACATTTAAGCCTTATCACGTTATTACCCCTGTTTAATCAATTGACACAAAAAATTTCACTATCTAGCCCAAGGTCACACAGCCACCGAATGTGTGCTTACAGTAAAACAACAGTTAAAACGTTTTAAGTGTACTGAATGCTTTCGCAGCTTTAAAATCACTTTGTAGGGCGCCTGGGTGGCTCAGTTGGTTAAGCGACTGCCTTCAGCTCAGGTCATGATCCCGGAGTCCCGGGATCGAGTCCTGCATCCGGCTCCCTGCTCAGCAGGGAGTCTGCTTCTCTCTCTGACCCTCTTCCCTCTCGTGCTCTTTATCTCTCATTCTCTCTCTCAAATAAATAAATAAAATCTTTAAAAAAAAATAAAATAAGATCACTTTGTAGATGTTAATTATGATCCTTTCGGCTAGGGAGACCATGACCAGAGATGAATCCCGCAGAGTATTTAAGTGATTTGCAATGGAGTCCCCAGCAAATTGAGAACTGTCCAGTGACCCTGATGCTTAAAGGCACAGCGCATGGGACACAAGCTTTAGTGTTCTGTTCAACTGCCAGAAGTTTTACATCCGTGAAAAAATTGATGTTTCTAGAGTAGAATAAAAACACACACTTGGGAAAACTAATTTAATTGTATATGGGGAGGGACTAAGGAGAAACAGTGTCATTAGAGGTGATTAATCCTCCAATTACAGCGTATGCTAACTCAGGGAAATTGTGGGGCTAGCTACCCGATTTACAACTTAATCATTCAAACGTGCATGAAATGTACAATGTAAGTTAGAATAAAGATACCCTATTTTAACCAAAGGATTAAACTCTTGCTTAGAGCTCTACTCTTGACAACAGTCTAACTCATTTCAGTCCCCTCAGTGAGGGGAGCAGAACATTTCCCAGCAACAGGAGGAAAAGCTCCATGTGCCAGAACTCCTGGCACTCTAGGACAGTGTCTTCTGGGAGTTAGCCGCATTATTTATAGTGTTTGGCTAGCAACTGAAAACACAGTCAAAACCCATCTTGCTTTTTGGAGGAAAAATTAATGAAGTGTTTCATGCACGAGGCAAGAGACTGTGTCACAAAATATAGGAAAAAGATCCCTCCATGGGACACATTCTGTTGGTATTGGGTATCCGTTGCTATGGGAGTAGACTCTCCACCATGACACCACACTTACTAGTCATGGAAGGAAGCTACAAAGTGCTGAAATGTCTCACTTAAGAGTGCTTTCCTGTCTGTCTTTGGCTACTGAGCTCTAGCACTCCAGGCTCATCAAATCCAGTATTAACTATTTTGTTCTAATGATTTTCATTCCATACCAGCAAAAACTCTAACCCAAAGCCAGATCAAAACAAAACCAAAACCCAAACAAACACAGGGAAAGCTATTCCAGTTGTAATTCGTCGGGGTCACGTCCGCATCTTTGAGAACATGTCATCGGTAGGCACACCAAACAGGCCAGACGTGCAGCACTGACCATGAAAACGAGGACAAGGTTAATAGAATTATCTATCATGTCTTAATTCTACTGTGGAAGTTAAAAAGATGAGGCCTACAGTAAGTCATCTCCCTAATGCAGGGCAGCTGCTTCTGTCCCCAGCTCTTTTAAGATGAATTGTATCAGGGGACACCGAAGAAGCACCAGAAACACCATAGAGTTTATTTAATTCCCTCTGCCTCAGCCTCCTGAATACACAGTCTTTCAGTAAATAATGGATCACTACCTCCTTGATGAGCATTAAATCTTTACATCGTGATCTCAAATTGTAATTACTCATAGAAAAATAATCAAGATTTTAAAAATTAAAACAAAGAGGTGGGCCTGCTCAAAGAACAAGCTGCCTTTCCATGGCAAACATTTACATCCAATTCAAATAATGTTTCTGAGCATCTTTTATTTGCAAAGGCCCTGTGCTTATGGATGCCAGACATCTACCTAACTTGCCCAGCCAGTGGGTCCAAAACCTGCATATAGCTCCATTCATCATTTGCAGATGTAATTCTTTTGGCACATGCTTAACCAACTAAAAATGTATCTGTGTTTCTTTTTCCTTCATGAGCTTGACTTTTTTTTTTTTATTTTTTTAAGATTTTTTTATTTATTTGACAGAGAGAGACATAGCAAGAGAGGGAACACAAGCAGGGGGAGTGGGAGAGGGAGAAGCAGGCTTCCTGTGAAGCAGGGAGCCCGATGCTGGGCTCAATCCCAGGACCCTGGGATCAGGACCTGAGCCGAAGGCAGACGCTTAATGACTGAGCCACCCAGGCGCCCCGAGCTTGACGTTTTTGAAGAGCTCAGGAAATAAATATTGGATAAAATTTGGATAATTGTACTACAGTAATAGAACAGAGTATCTTTCAGACATAACTGCATTGTGTTTGTAACTTACTCTCCAGTGTTTCAGAAAAACTTTAAAAGAAATGATGATAGAGGAAGAAAGATTGATAAAAAGTTATGACACTTTTATATAACATATATAACACGTGGGGGACTCCAGGTTATGGTTATAACAACATTTGTTATATATATGGGTATATACCCAAACATATGGTAATTCTTTGCACTGTTGTTGTAACAGTTGTATAACAACAATATTGTTATATATTTGTTATAACAACATTTGTTATATATATGGGTATATACCCAAACATATGGTAATTCTTTGCACTGTTGTTGTAACTATTTTTAAAGTCCAAAATTACTTCAAAATAAAAAGTTTAAAGAAATCCGTGTCAGATTTAGGCCTAAGACTATAATGCATTTAATGTACAAAAGAGATTTTTTTAGGTGACAAAAGGAGTAAGTTCCCAAAACTGAGCTGTCACCTTTTCTGTGTAAATGAGCCATTCAAAGGAAGAGGCAGGCAAATTTTGGAAGGTAACGTTACAGGGTCTTAAAATGAGAAAAATGACAGAGAAAGTGTTTAAAATACACTTAATTAAAAACAAAAAAGTAATATACTTACGGTCCAACCCAGGATGGCTGATTGTCATTAATGAGATGGATTTTGTTAGCGGAGAAGAAACGGCTGATGTACAATAATTGAATCCCTGTTGTTTAGATCTGTGACATGCCTGTGAAGTAAAGAAACAAAATAAGTAACTGAAGAACAGGTTTTAAGTACATGTTCTTATTATTTCTAGATACGCACAGAACTGTACCTTCCGGCCCAACCTAGGAGCAGAAGGCCGAACCCGGGAGGGGTTAACAGCAAAGGCTCTGCAGATACTGGATTCAAGTCTGCCCCTGTTACCTGACAACAGTCTAACTCATTTAGTCTACCTTCAGAGGAGTTACTTAGCTTTCATGAACCTTACTTTTCTTATCTGTAAAATGGGAATAACGAGTAGCCATCCTGTACAGTGGGTTTCATATCCCTCATGATACCTGATAATGTTTTAAACTTTAGTACATGCTTAGTAAACATCTGTTGAATGCATAATCAGACAAAACAACTTCACTGGAAATACCAAACTACATACAGTAGCTCTTGTTCTTCGAAAATCTAAACGCCCTTTCTAGAGATACAGTAGATATCAGTAATATTATTTTCTGATTTTAACAAGTTGGAAACAGAGCTGCAAGTAAAAGCTGTTTTAAGATCAAGAGCAAGGCAGCTGTGCATCTGGGAAGAAGCCTAAATCGCTTTCGTTTCCTCTTCTAAGATTAGACTGCTTCTACAGGAACAAGAGGGGGGCTGAAACCTGGTAAATTACCTCCCTCAGAAAATTCATAGCAGCTTTGAGGCCACGTAATGCAACCAACTGCAGAAGCTCCTGTAATAACACCCTTAGAATGATAGTCCACCAGTGTTTACTAGCACTCTTCTGGCGGCGAGGGGCTCCCCCCTCCTTTGTTCTGAGAGCCATTTTGAACTATTATCTAACTTTGTCATGAATCCCCTCCCTTCATAGTAGGCTAAAATCTGCACATGCTCAAAGGCAAGCAATGAAAATCTGTTAGCACCATGAATTCAACTCAAGTGTGCCAAAGACTTCTGATTATTGAAAACTTGTTCCATGTGTAACCATGGAGTCTGAGGCAAACAGTTGCTATGTTTCAAATACAACTGTGAGGTCTGAAAAAATGACCTCAGTGAAAGGCGGAGACCTTCAGCAGGAAGCTGGCTGCAGGCAACCTGTCCAGATCAGAGATACCATCAGCTCAAATACCCACTCTGAGGTTGCACACAAGACAAAAGGTGTGGGTGAGCAGACAGTTCCAGGAAGGTTAATAAGCACAAGAAAGCACGAAAATGTCCGCAACTTCATCTAGAAAGACTAAATCAGAAAAGCCATTTTAGAAAGACTTCAGTGGTAATTGACATCACTTACTAACAGACAGGGTCCTCTGTCCAATTCTAGAAATAGGAGTTTCAGAAAAGGTTTTACATAAACAATATTAAGGAAATTAAGGTGTTCCCATTTCCTCATTAAAACTCCCCTACTTCAAAAATGTGAAAAAAAGCAGTGAGACTAACAGCCAAGAATTCTGAGATTAATGCTGTCCAGCTAATGGCCAGTTATGAGGCCTTAGGCAAGTCGCTTCAAATGGGTGTGAAGTTCTCACACACAAGGGCTTACGCAGAATCCAAAGGGATATACTGACTGTTAAGTCTAGGATTCTGTTCACAAACCCACAATTTTGGTATTTTGTCTGGTCTTACAATAGACTTCCAAAAGATTCTACACACATGAAATGCGGTTTATTCTTCAGACTCTCTACTAACCAAAGATGCTATCGGCAGGTCACGAAAAAGAATTGTTTCTATTTTTCACTCCCTTTTTCTGTTACTGTTAGGTTGAATAAATTTAAATCATTTGCCTCAATAACTATATTCTCCATATTCTTTTTTAAAAGATTTTTTTTTTTAATCATCTCTACACCCAATGTGGGGCTCGAACTCATAATCCTGAGATCAAGAGTCACATGCTCCACTGACTGAGCCAGCCAGGAACCCTATTCTCCATCTTCTTGTTATTTTTCTTAACTTCTTCTAAACTGTCAGGCCCAGGAGACCCGGGGGGGTGGGGGGAGGGGATAACCGGGCAAAATTCCTTTGGGCCTTCAATTTGACTTTCATACCGCCGAAATTCTCTTGGGCCTTCACGTAAGTAATACATTCATTATTAAGGTAATCCTCTAGGGTCCAATTTCTATTTGGTCATATCACTGCTCTGTAGTGGGGTATAACAAAACATTAAATGTCTACATAAAACCCTAGTCACCTAACTCAAAGAACGGGCTGTTTAACTTTTTTGTTGGTTTGTTTAATTAGAAATGTTTCATTCTATCTCTACCTAAAACTCCAGTCACCTACTCAAAGACAGGTGTTTAATTTTGTGTCTGTTTAATTAGAAATGTTTCATTTGCATGTGTATCACAGAATCCTCCTAGAAATCAATCCAAAATCCCATTGGCCCAAGAGGAGGATAAAAGACCGGGAGCAGGGTGCGACGCTCAGAAAGCTTACGATTCCAGTTCTCAAGGCAAACTCCCCGAGGACCCATCCCCGGTGGTGAGCCTCGGAATGAAGGGCCTGCGAGGGGAGCACTGGGAAAGTCACCTGACCGGCTGTGAGGAAGGCCAGGCCCTCCAAGGGGCAGCGCCTGTGGCAGGCACGAAGAGAGCATCAGGCGGGGAGGGAGTGCAGATGCTCTCTGAAAAATTCTGACAGCTGCAGGAAGCAGAGAGAAAGAAATAGCCATTTCCTAGGCAATGTGAGAAGAAAAAAAAAAAAATTTTTTTCCCCCCCCCCCCCCAGAAAGGGATATGTTTTTGAAAAATTAGGGAATTTAAATTTAACAGTGTTGTGTAACACACTTCAAGACTCATTTTACTATTGAGATGATAAAAGAAGTCCTCAGATAAGAAGGAAAAATTTAATAACCTGGGTACTTTCCTAATTTAAAAAAGGTTACAAATTACTTGTGAACTGAAACCCGTATGCTTCAAATATTTGACGGAATATTTAAATTAATGCAGATTAATGGTATTCTTGAATTAGTATTAAGTGCTAAAAACTTGCTTTGTGCTAGATTGAGTGCATTATATAATGGGTAAGCAATCACGGCCACTAGCCTTATATTAACGTAAGTCTTTTTTTCTTTGTTCCTAATGTGAGGACACATGTAGGGGAGTAAAGTGAATTTTTCCAAGTTAGCAGTATATACCCTCTTCAGCCTTACCTGCTGATCAAGCATCCTATGTTCTCTCTGGCCTGATTCCAGATCCTCCTCTGAAAGTGACACCAAAGAGTCACCCCTTTCTTCCCCACTGAAAGGGTGCCTGAGCTCTTTGGTGTTTATGGAGTCTACACCTAGAGACGAAGATGGCTCGTTTCCAGCACCAGTTCCTCCTGCCAAGCCTTCTAGGCTGAAACTGAACACAGAGCAAAGGAGTTAATTCATTCTATTTCCCAGTCTCAGGAAGGAAAGGAGGATAAGAAATTGCTTCGGGTATATCTCCCTGCTGCTATATTATTTCTATGTCACCTAGCAAAGCTATTGACAAGGGCACGGCACAAAGGAGTGCCACCTACCTCTCCCCCCACAGGCGTTGGTATGCTGAGAAAGAATACTGCACTTAGATTTTCTTACTTCATTCAACTTATTCAAATGGTGACCATCTAAGGTCATTTTCTCAAGATTTTTTTTTTTCAATATACCATCTGTATTATCTTACCGATCTTTTATTTGTGTGTTTTTCCTTGATCTGATGTAATTGATCTTTGCCAAAGTCTAACTCAGCTAATGCCAAAGAATTAACGGCACAGAGAAAACTGGTGCATAAGTCACTTTCAGAAGACAAACAGGGAGACCCAGACTTGCCCTTGTGTCCATTTAAGTGGACCGTTAACAACTTTACATTCAACTACAGTCTAGCTGACCTTTACTATTTCACAGGTGTGTGTCCACCCCAGAGACCTGAGTGTTACTTCTGAGCAGTAGCGTCTGTGCCCATGTGGCCAGTCCAACAACTGCCTGACAGGTTTCCCGAGAACTGTGAGTCACAGGCAGGCGCATGGGTCACCTTAAAGAACAAATGCTGAAAAGCTGCTAAGTCTAGGCCTTTTAAGACTGACCAAAAAAGGGGGCAAACTAAGGGCATGGTATCCCTGGAATAACGATTTTGTGGTCTGCACAGTGATAAAAAGCATTTTTTTTTTTTTTTTGTGAGCAGGAGATTACAGAGAGCGGTTAGCCATCTATCCGCCTCGGGGCTGCTAGCCAGAATAATCCACACCTGTTACAGCTGCAGCGGGAACTTCTTTCCAATAAGCAAGAGAGCAGAACAGAGCTGTAGCTGACCACGACCTCCGTTACAAGCAGCTGGAAACGCACTTGAAGGTATACTGAAGCTATGCAGTTACCTCTGCTCAAGCTGTACGACAGTTAATTCTGCAAATAATTCACGTATGCCAGTCCGGAGGGCCTGTTATTTGCTTTTTGCATTTCACAAATTACTTACTGTGAACTGAAACCATATGCTTCTGTTTTTCTCTAGTGGGTAATTTAAACAATGGGTTTTGTTTTTCTTATTTCAATATGACAATAGAAATCATGATTAAGTGTAAGTCCACGTGTCTCTGTGAACTCCTCTGCAGTACCAGGGATAAGGACACAGGCTACGTGAAGAAGAAATTTAGGTTTCTATTGTGAAACTGTTTGTAAAGCCTGAGAAAACCAGTCTGTCATTACCCACAAAACTTAACGTTGAGAATGTTTTAGTAATTAAATCTGGCTGCTTAGCTGAGAGAAGAATATAAAACACTGAGGAATCTGTGAATTTGGAATCTAAAGAGATTGGGGGATTTGGAAACATAATAGAAATCAGTGCATCTCGTTAGCTGCCTTGCTTCTGTCATTGTTTTCCTCAGGCTGTGGGAATCCCCAGGTTCTGGGAATCAGGACAGACCAGAAACAGAGAAGTGGTCTACCGTACCAGAGGTACAGGCCTGTGCACAAAACACCAAACCTACAGCCACTTGAGACAGAAAGGATGCACCAGGGTACACCATCCGCCTCCGAGTTTGTACCCCTTCAAATGGATTAGTGATGCCCACAGCAGAGGCAACTCAACACTGCGTCACAAAGCGCACTGCCATATGCATTCTAGCCACACAGAAGCAAGCTCCCAGCCAAAAGCCCAGGTGCCATATTGTATGATTCCCCCTTTGGTGGCTGGACATGGAAAAATACCATACCTTCTGTAATTAAAGTCAGCACTCAGGGCAGCAGAGTATTGTACACCAGAGGGACACCAGCTCATACTGGGGATGACATCAAAGGCAGAAACAGAAATGGAGGGAGAAAAGAGGAAACAGGGACGGGGTTATTGGGTTTGAAAAGAAAAGCCATAGTTACAGACAGATGGATTTATGTGATCATCAAAAAATAAGGAACGTAACACTTAGAATTTAGAAAAAGGCTAGAACAAAAACCACAGAAACTTAAAACTGCTCTACTAATATCCATCTAGACAATGTGCTGGAAATGTCTACGTCAGTTTGTTACAGGGTAACAACTCTGAACAAAGAGCCCACTCCATCCACGGCTCCCTCCTCAGGTGTTCTCCCGACGTATCCCCACTACTGGGGACAGTCTCTCCACATGCTCCGCCACGCCACTCTCAGACGTCCGTGGCCACAGTGATAATCCTTAACTAAACTCCCCCTTGACTAAAAGGGACAGTGACAAATTGCACTGGGGTAAGCTCACTGGGTCATCAATTTTCTTCACATGTTTCCACTAAGGGTCCATCTACTCATGAGTCTTTCCTAATAAGGATATCCTATCAACACTCACACCCATCTTTAAACCCTACTCACTAAGCTCTTGTGATGAAGATTCGCCATGTCACAATGGTCACACTTCCTTGTATTTTAATGATAACAAAGGCAGTATTTTCTTCAAAAGAAAAGGAATTCTGTGGTACTGAGTTAGAAATGTGTCTTAATTTTAGGTTTGCATCCATTTTCCCGAGATTAAAAAAAAAAGCAAAACTCCATTTGATCATCTACTTTATCTCGGCACCAATATTTACTCTCAAGCGGGAGGGACAGAAAATCTAGGGTTGGAAATACCATGTAAATATAACTAGCCAAAAAAATAACCAATTCAAAATATCAGGTACACTGTAAAGGGAACTGCATCAGTAGGTCAGGATTTCTGACTGACAAATCAAAAACCAGTTTAAAAATACACTGCTACTCTTTGGGGCCTTAAAATTCTAAGTGATGTGTTTTTGTTTTCAGAAGGCGGAATAACAGTAACACCCCCTCAGCTCTCTCTGGAATCTTGCAAATGGGAAGATGTACAGACACCAAAAACCCCTTGAATACCTTGAATACACTTAATTTCGTTTTAGTAAGTGGGGGGTTTCTGGCAGAGGAAAAGACATAAGGAAGGTGGTGGGAGAAAAAATAGAAGAATAAACAAATAGAAGAAGAAGAGCCTTCTAAAAGCAAATCTTTAAAATCATGGCATTTAAAAATAATTTAAATAGTAATAACACTTAAAATCAGGTTAAATTAATAGTACAAAGCACAGAAGGGCAGAAGCAGAAAGGAAAATTTAGCATCTAAGACACATCTCCAGTCTGATAAAGGAAATCAGACGGACTTATAATTTGCTCGTGTGAGGGAAGCAAGCAAGCCTTGATATAATTTACAAACACACACGAGACTAAGAAGTCCATTCTCTGAAATTATTAATTTAATTCTGAATCTCCAAACTGTTAATAAAAATTTTAAAAATATCCAACATGGTAAATCAGCAACCGAATATACATTACCAAGTTATCATTCAAAAAAATACTCTCCCTCTACAGATTTAAACATCCCTTTACTCTCAGAAAATGATAATGATGTGAGAGAGCAGGGTGAAATTTAGGATGAAGAGAATGGAGAGCGACAGGGAGAGAGAAAGAGGACATAACAGGGGGGTCCTAAGGCTCCAAGAAGGAAGCTGCAGGTGGTCCTTCAGCGGCAGCAGACCTGCCCTTCCTTCTAGGGGAGAACTCCCATCACGAGAGTGTTTTTTTTTTTTAAAGATTTTTGTCAGACAGAGAGAGAGAGCACACGAGAGTGTTTTTGAGAGCATCCTCAATTTCCTCAATTAGTGGGGGTGACATTTAATGGTTCTTTGGCCTCATTTTGAGATGTAGAAAATTTTAGATTCTTAAAAAAAAAACCAAATATCCTGCTCTCTACTGTTTAACACTTGTGGAAATGTTTCAATTTTACTAACTAAGGCTTCATAGAGAATTTTAAATGATACTTCACGTTCTTCCTGCAGAAAAATGACTAAGGGTGAAATGGTGTGTGGCCCTGTTGTGAAGCTTTATCTATATGCTTCCTGGGACTGCATCCAGCCACCCGTCCCCTTCCACTGTCAATACGTGGATGCTTTACAGAGAGCCAACTAGATCTCTAAAGGGTTCAGACACTTCTACTGAAAAGGGCATTTAACAACTTGTTCCCCTGGGAGAACAACTCAACTGAGTCTCATCACCGGAGATTCACGAGGGTACTTGTATTTGAACTCAATTTTGTGCCTGAAATCTGGAAAAAGACAAAGTAGGGAGGACCACTACCTGCCAGCTTCCCAAGAAAGAGCTTCAGCTCAGAACTGAAAATACGTCTTTACAAATGTCTCCCAATATGAGAAACTATGTATAATTCCACCATCGTTTTTGGATTTCCGAATTGTCTCCCCCAAATAACAGAAGGAAAGGTCACTAGTGACGACTTCCGAACAAAGTAAAACTCAGCATCTGAAAAGCAAATCGGCATTTTTTTGACTAGAAATGACTTTTCAGCTTCTAAATTACTAATTGTTAGCTTCAAAATGTTACCTGACAAAAAATAATTAAGGAGTTGGAAGACTGGGAGATGAGCGGATGCCTCTTACTTGTTTTCAGAAATGACTACATCAACATTGGAGTGGAGGTGGTCAGGGGGCCTAGAATGTGTCGAAAATGTGTTAGGGCCTGTGTGCCAGCACACAATTTTTTCTGGTTCTTTCCCCTTCTTGGGGGGTGGGGTGGGGGAAGAAAATGCACTCCCCAGGGTCCATTAGACAGGCACAGTCGAAGTGTCTTTGAATTCTAGGGAGAGTTGGGGAGACCCTATTATCAAAGTGATCTGAACATCAGTAAGTACAAGATGGAAAAAACACTAAAAAAGTTTCCTTTAAAGATAAAAATAGGAAAAAATTTCAGACTCACAAAACCATTTCATATGCAAATGGACATCAGCAATTAATAAATACCTATATTTTATTTGCCTGAAGCAGACGTGACATTATTGTAAAAGACGGTTTAATCATGGATCAAGCAAAATGAAATGCTTGTTAGTAGAAGCTCAGAGCCAACACAGTTAGTCCATCAAGTTAGTGAACTCTGTACCTTCTCCTATGAATGGGAGGTCTCCTGACAACATCCCCAAGAACTCGCAATGAACTGAAAATGAATGGTGGAAGAGGTCAGTGTTGAGGTGAAACAAAATGGACACAAACGCATGAAGCATACAGACATCACGAAGGGGAGAGACACGAGCCACTCAGAGAAACAGTACAGGAAGGCAGGGGAAGAGAGAATGTGGAGGAAGAAACACATCAAAATCACAAAGGCCTGACAGCCTGACAATTTCTGGGGAGGGTTACTCTGCTCCCTCCTTGCTCCACAGAGTTAATCAGATGACAAGGAATGAGGTTTATTAAATTCTAAAAGTAAAAGGATTAAAAAAAAGGCCACTCAAAGCGTTAGAAGGGTTTCCTTAAGACTTTAAAATTCAGGTTATACTATACGCAGATAACACTGTAAACATCAGTCAAACTAATTCAAGCCCTTCCATCACGCCAGAGGCACTGGGCAGTGGTGTGAGGGGACTGTCAACGCTAGGCTCAGAGGAGATGCCATGATATTATACAGGTTGCAAATATGAATAATTAAGTGATAGGGTTCTAGTCTTAAGGGCACCATGTAATCTGGGGCAAATCCTTCAGTCTGAGCTTTAATTTCCTCATCTGAGCTACAGAATCCAGTCACAGCCAGCTCTGAAATCCATAGCGGGCTATAAAGAAAAATGGATTGCCTTTTAAAATAAACCCTTGTTTCTCGATGCTGTTAGCATCTCTGACAGTATGTCCTGTCAAGAGGCTATTCTTGCTTAAGGAAGAGAATTCCAGCTACAGGGATGATTCCCCACATCCTTATTTTTTAACTGGCGTGAATGCTTTCTAAAAAAAAAAAAAAAAAGTACAGCGTGAATAAAGCTGGGAAGGAAAGCTTTTAGAAAATGCTTTTTGTATAATCCATGCTTTCAAATGTATATAAAAACTACCCAGCAGATAAAGCAACTGCTTATTTTTAAGGGTAACATCCTGAACTCTACCAGAAAATAATATGGAATCACAGAAAGAGCACTTAACTAGGAGACCAGAAACCTAGTTACTACTGACCTGGTTTGGGTTAAGTGATATCAACTGTCTGCACCTGTCTCATCTTCTCATCTGTGAACATGCAGACAATGCCACCTGACTCAGGAAGAGGACTGGAAAATCACATGGGATCGTTTGTTATGAAACAAGTCTGGGAAGAGTAGCACACGAGCCAAGTTTAAGATACTGCTGTGAGCTCCATGAAGGCGGGGACTTTGGCTCATTCACCTGTGTCTCTAGAACCTAGAAATGCCTGGCATGTGGCGGGTGCTCAACATATGTTGGCTGGATAAAAGAATAAACGAGTGAGTGCCATCAGATTCCACATACCTATAGCTCTGAAATCTGAGCCATGTTATAAGGAGGTCAGGGAATTAAAAAGAAAAAAAGCCATAACCGCTCCACGTGAGTTTGTCACATCACCTGTATTCACACAACGGTCAGCCTGCTCCCTCAGCTGCTTTCCCTCATCTAGAAAGTAGCTGGGGAGTAAGCACAACTTTGTACATACAGCAGGCATCATGGCACTTAGTCGTTAGAGCTACAACCGTCTGCTTAAATCCTGGAAGCAGCCTGTGGTCAGAGGCCAACTCCAAACTACCTTTTCAGAGCCTGCTTCCGGACGGAAGGTGTGACATAGGGTCACATGTACCCACGTCCCCAAAGACTGGAGGATACATGGAGAAGTACCAACCATCCAATGATATTGAATGATTCTTAGGCTCTCTTACTGATTAAATAATCATTCAGACTCTGTCCAACCTTTCCGCATTAGAAACGGACCGCAATTTCTGGGAAGCACTCTGAAAACAGATGGTGTTGAGACCAAGATTTCGTGTTTAGTTTTTAATTCAAGGTTGACAGGACTCTATTCCCTCCACAACTTTTTAGTCTATGAATTTTATTAACAGATATGGCCTGAACGACTGTTGGCACTTATTAAACCCCCACCATGTAACAGACCTATTTCACTTGCAATATTTATTATCACAAATATTCTGAAAGGCAGGTATTTTACAGATGAGAAAATTAAAGCCCAGAGGGATCAAGTAACTTGCCCAAGCTTATCTACATAGTGAGTTACAGAGCTGGGGTTTGAACACAGGTTTTCCTGATTCCAAAGCCCATCTGCTTTCCTCTGTACCGCGGTGTCTCCTAAATTCTTTTACCATGGTAACACCAAATCACAGAATCAAAAGCAAGCAGACACCGAGAAATGAAACCAACGGCCCCGCCGGGTCCACCTCACCTGCGCTGGTTCATTTCAGCATCACTGGCCGCGTTCTTCCCAGGACCCCAGCTGTGCCTCCGGAAAGGGGACAGGGAGCGCATAGAGCTCCTCAGCACGGAGCAGTTCGAGGGCACCTCGGTGATGCTGTCCATCTCCTCCTCCTCCATCTCACCTGAGCCGGCAGCTTCACCCTCGCTCTCTCGGCCCTCAGCTCCCACACCATGGCTGTAGAAGCCGTCAAGACACTGCTGATCTCTGGACCTGTTCAAATTTGAAATCTGGGGGAGGGAAACATCACTGCCGTGAGAAGAATGTCGATCCAAGGAAGCGGTGTCGTCGGTGGAGGAACTGGATCCGGTGATATCACAGACCAGCGGCTCGTCCTCGGGCTGTCATGGAGAGAGAACACACACAGTTGGAAATGGCAAGGCCTCATTAGTCCCGACCCAGGAGTGGCTTCATAGTGGGTAGGATGGGCAAGATCACAACTGGCATCAAACAGGGTGTTTCCTTTTTTAAAGCATGGTCACAGTTTGATTCAAGTTGTCCCCGATGAAGGTATGGTCTAGGTCTGTGTTCCCTTGACCCTCTTATTAGTGGTACACAGACCCCTCCTTTCTTACAGGGGAAAAACATCTAACCCAGGTTCAGGTCAGCTCCACAGGCCAATACCACCAGCTGAAACGAAGAGAACCCTTATGTATTGGGGTTTCTATATGAAAACTCTATAAATTCATTTACTATTAGGTTTAATTTTCCCCCCAAGCTTTAACTAAAAACAAGGTTGTCTGCTTGGCTGCCATAATGTTGTTCTGAATTTAATATTCCCAAAGCAAGTCTGTAACTGAAAAAAATGCAGAATAGCTTATGACCCTACCTAAAATCTGCCACAAATGCCCACATTCTGGCCATAAATGCCTATGTGGAAGAAATCTATTCCTTTTTCTCATTTCTCACTGAGGATTGGCAGTGTCATCAAGCTAAATCACACATAACATAATCAGTCCTGGCAATGGAGTCTTGAGTAAGTGATGATGTTCCTTCTCTGGCCAACCTCAGGAGCCTAAGAGAAATAGTACAGTTTTGATCCCAAGTAGCCTGACATTCTCTGTTTGCTACATACACCAGAGCTCATACTTTGACAGGTGAGGGAAAGATGAGCATCCTGTCACTCAAAAGATGAATTCATCCAGAAGGTAAGTAGAAGTGTCTAGAAGATGCATGATCACATTCTCAGATTTGGGCACTGCACTATCTTAACATCTTTATTTTACTGTGTTCTTCTAGGAGAGGGAGCAGGGACTAGAGAAAGGCATTCTGTGGTTTATTTTTCCTTCTTCACAGTATTTTCCTAATTAGCCAGTCTACTCAAAGTTTTAATTAAGAGTGAAGAAATTTATAGTTCTTTGAGAAAGATTTTAAAAATTATGAGAACTAATGAGCCTTTTAAACTTTGGAATAGAAAATAAGACCTATTCAATAAGGACAGTATTTTCAAATGTTTACATTTAACACTTCAAAAGCATTCTCTACAATTTTTGGGCTGAATCTCTGCCAGCTCTTGGAGTACCCCCCCAACTCTGTGGCATCCGGGTTTCCTCGGTTAATTGCTCTTGAAATGATGTGTGAGGGATGAGACTAAGAGGGAGATGTGGGGGTCACCAGGACCTGGAATGGCTCTCCAGGCCCTCCCAGTACATAGGCAGTGAGCAGCGGGAGCAAGAAGTGAACTCAGGCTGATTTCAACTAAAACTGCCCTGTTCTGTTCCCCCTCATCATCTTTAAAAAAAACCCTGGAGGCGCGGCCTGGGTGGCTCCGTTGGTTAAGCATCTGCCTTTGGCTCAGGTCATGATCCCGGGGTCCTGGGGTCGAGCTGAGCCCTGTGTCATCGAGCCCCGTATCAAGCCCCATGTCATCAGACTCCTTGCTCAGCAGGGAGTCTGCTCCTCCCCTGTGCTCGTGCTCTTGCTCTCTCTTAAATGAATAAAAAATCTTAAAAAAAAAAAAAAAAAGCGCCTCCGCAAGGACAAGATCTCAAGGTCCTGTGTTCCCTTCACTGGGCCACACTGTAAAATAAAACGATGCTTTAACCAAGTAGATTCTAAAACAGGGCAGCTATTATTTTAAAATAAAATCACTGACAGTTCTTTTTAAGTTAGTGAGGATTAACCTGTGCATCCTAAAGCATTCTATCATGGGGCTGCTCTCCAGAGACAGGAACGATGTAGATGATCACAAATATCAACCTTCAGGATGTCTTGGCTTTCTCACTGTGTTCTCCTCAAACGTAGTTAGTTAACATGAGATTATACAACAGTAGGGTGGCCCCTAAATCCAAAGGAGTTGTATCCTTAGGAGAAGAGAAGAGACAGGGGGAGATATGCGGGGAGGCAGAGCTTGGGATGATGGGTCCACAGCCCTGGGCTGTCCAAGGAGTGCCAGCAAGTAGCAGAGGCTGGGACAGGAGCAGAGACGAGATTCTTCCTGCGAGCTCCTGAGGGAAAGCAGCCCCTCTGATCCATTGATTGTAGGACCTCCTGCCTCCAAAACCGTGAAAAATAAATTTTTGTCATTTCACACCACCAAATTTGTGGTAATTGGTGACAGCAACCCTCGGAAACTATATACCCCAAGCTGCTCAACCTTTAATTCTCAGAACAGTACCAGGGGACAAACAGAAGGGGCATGAAAAAGCAAAATGTGTGACGGGCCCATTGTCAAACACACAATCAAGGCTTCAAAGGAAACGAAAATGAGTTCAAGTTTCCATTTAGCCATTTATCATATATTCTCATAAGCTCATGCTTCCCGATTAGGAAATGACGCGCAGATGACAGAACAGGTCGTTCTTTTCGATTTGGCACCTAAGTGGCCTTGCAAGGACACTGCCTTGAAAGACCACCTGCTATCTCTCTGGTACTTTACTAATCTGAGACTTAAACAAGCATCCACCCCTTTGTAAGACATTAAAACGAGATGGGAAAATTGTTGGTGGCCTGTTTGTACACATTAAAAAAAAACGAGAAATCTGTCTAGCATACATGCGCAACGCAGTGTTGATCCTCGTGTGTCCCAGGACACGTCTTAGTGTGTACTTTTAACTCATAAACTAAACAAAACACACCCCCTAAAAATTAAATAACCAGGGAGTTTTCACAGTTATTGCATGAGTTCTTTAGTCTTGTGCTCCTGGTAAGAATGAAGTTCACAATGTATTGTTATTGTACCTTTCAACTAGTATGAGCTTATGGTTATTACTTGAAAAAGGCAAAAACAGGACAAACTCAATAACTGAGATCAGTCTTCACTTCTAAATATCGAGGCCAGTGGTTTTTCTTTAAATGCTGGATTGAATCTAAAGAAGGCTCTAAATTACGTTTTCCAGAGACTTATGCGTTCTCCGAAGAGTTTCCCGGCTTCACCATGTCTTTATGCTCCCCTGGCAGAAGAGAAAGCATCAGCGACATAACCAAAAATTAAACCCGAAATATGGTCCTCGTCTTTCTGCAGCTAGGTATCTGCCTATGGATAAGCCACTTCCTCAACAAGAAGATGACCTTTAAGTAAAAAGGCTAGGCCTTAATATAAGGCTGTTGCAAGGTACTGTCTATTTTAATCACGAATAGAGGGAACAAGTAGGTTTTTTAAGCCTTTGAATTTTTTTCCCCAGGATTCTTTTCCAGTCCCTGAATTTATTAGCGCTTAAGTTCTTAGGGATATCTGCCAAATAAGAGATACGAGAACCGTTACTTCCACCATTCTGCCCCCTCCTCACAGAAAGTACCAGGTTTGGGATGCTGTTTTTCCATTTATACATCAGAAGGGGGGAAAGTTATGGCTTCTGTCACATAATAGAATGTTCCACGCCTAATATTTGAAACTATTTATTCTTAACAGTTTTTGAGTTGTATATGTTGGTCTTTCTTTGGAGAGGTCTTCTCTCTTAAAATGTCTGCTGATTAAATGACTTTCAGAGACTTCGCATATTAGTCCTGATTGCAGAAAAGGTGCCATGGGATTAAATTAACTAGCACATTTTTAAAAACTTGGTTTTGACTCTATGTAAATCAAATGTACTAGTTAAACTGATCCCCTGGCACCGTTCCTCCAGACAATCATGAGTAATAGCCCAAGTTCCTGAAAGTCATTGAATATATTTAAGCAATATATACACGTGCATATTTAAGAAAAAAAAATATGGTTTTTATTTCCTTAGTCTTAAAAGCAGATGACCAGAACACAATTCTCTGCTACGTACAAGTTTTTTGTTTTTCTTTTCCCTTAAGATGCAGTACTGGGAGTGGGTTAGGGCAGAGAAGGAAAAGAGACACAGAAAGGCAGACACAGGTGAGGAGGGGTGGCTGGGAGTTGTGCTTGTTTGCGAGAAAGCAAGCATACTGGGAGACAGACGGCTGAGTCTAGACCTGAGACTGACACACGAGCCCTTCCTCCCTTGAGCTATCCTGACTGGTTTTCCTCCTGCATATGGGAGGATGGACACATACACATCAACTACCATCTCTACCAACAGCTTCTTTTTCCTTACAGTTTATGCCATCTTGAAAATCTGCAAACGGTGATCAGGCTCGCAAAAATCTCTAGGAGTCAAAGAGAAAGCCTGCAAAAAGCGGGCCCAGTGAGCAATACAAAGGCTTGTGCACCAGCCCCTGCTGGACAGCTCGGACTCCAGGGGCACTGACCCAAGGATACTGTTTTGCTTAATTTAAGGTGAAATAAACTAGGAAAATTGAAATTACAAAATAATGATATAAATAAAAGTTAATGAGAAAGGCTAAATTAAATGATGCTGCTGTCTATATAAAGTTCGGAAAACTATGATTCATACTTAGATATACATGCAACGGACTATTCATTCCATAAATGTGAGTAATGATTATTTACTGGATACTCGCGCCACATGGGGGCTCTGCACTAAGTGATTTAGATGTATTTGTTCTTTCAATATTTGATTTAGTAGGTATTCTTATTCTCATTTTATACACGAGACCACTGAGGTCCAGTGAGGTTACATAGTAAGATTCTAACTTAACTGGTCTGGGAATAAGGGCCAGATTCTTTTTCTTCTTAAAGCTCTCCAGATGATTCTAAGTACAGCTAGGACTCGGTCCTATTATTATATATGACAGAGCTGTGATAAAAATGTTCTAAAAAATTAAGATGGACACCAATCCTGTCCAATGTAAAAGCCCAAATTATAGATGTCCTAAAAGAAAACATCTTGACTGGGGGCAGACAAATCAGGAACAGGACACAGGTAGCAACAGTTCATAAAAAATGGATGAATTACACTTCACCAAAATTCTGAACATTCAGTACAATAAGACACGTTTATGAACGCAAACAGGGAAGCCATGTACTGCAAGAAAA